CCAACCCCCACCATTCTGTGATTCTGTAACTCAGTTACTGCAGAGTACCTGAAGTGCTGCATATTCTTACTTCACTTACTCCAATATAGTTCATCCATCATTCCTCAAAAAAAAAAAAAAAAAATCCTGAGGCCGTTCTGGGTATTGTGTCAGTTCAACAATATTTCAAAGCATCTTGTATCTTTCTGTAATTAAAGCATTTCATCATGGGAACCCACACTTCTCTTCTTTGATTCTGCCATGAGTTATTTTCGAGACTATTTGCAGGTTAATTAACTCCTTTGCATATTGGTTACTTAGTCTGTAAAATGCAGTATTAGTTCATAAACACTGTGGAGGTGGTCAGATAATATCACAGTGTCATTACCGCTGTCATTCACCTGAGGTTTAGTTTTATTCTGCCTCACCCTGCTCTATCTTTGGTAAATGCTGCAGGTGGAGCTTCTGGGAGTAGGTAGAAGGGAGTCTGTGCAACTTCTGTGTTGTAGAGTCTCATTAATTATTCTAATAAAGTAAGAGCCAAAACCTTAATATGGGAGGTCTCCTATAAGATTCCTAAATAACAACCGAATTAACTTGAGGGTGTCTGGCACAGCTGTTTCTATTCCTTGAGTTTAAGTGACCCTCTTGGAAGAAGTTATATAGGATTGAAAGTTTGGGTAGGTTTCATTGCAAAACTGAAGATGAATTTGTGTGCAAAGGAGTTTTACTTATTTTATATATTTTATAAACCTTCACTGAGATTTTTTTTTGATCTATCCAGAGAGAGGAGTCTTGTTTGTTCTTACAGTGATCATTCTGAAAATACTTCTGCCATTCATCCTTCAGATACTGATATCTAACCTTTGGAAAAGGTGTAGGCTGGACTGGTTTAGACTGTATGGTTTAATGACTAGTATATTCTTTTAGTTTTCTTTATTGAGAAACAGGAAATAGATGCCATTACTGTGTTATATTGTTGAATATAATGCCTTCATGCTTGCATTTACTGACTGTAAATCAGGAGTGAGCGATTTAAATTGCATTGTTGCATGTAGTGTGAGCAGTTGTGGAAACAAAGATAACAAATATTAATTTCTGATGGTGCAATAAAGTGATGAAGGAGATATTTCTGTAGGATTGATCTCCAGGTGAATGCTTCCACTGTTTTATTCATTAAATCCCTTTCTAATGCTGGGTGTTGTGGTCAGTAATCTTTAGAAGAGAAAGAAGTGGCTCCTCATTTTACTTGCTTTATATTCCAAATACATCTGTTCACATTATCTCAAAGGATCATACCCGAAATGAGCTTCATGGGTGAATATTACCTTAAAAAGTGATAAATAATATCGGTTATAATGGTGAACTATACTCAAAATGTCAACTATCCTCTTAAACTATTGCTTTTACAAATAGTTCAATTGATTAAGACCTGAAGGTGTTAAGGGAGCAGTTGTGGGAGTGCTGTGGGGGTTTCGTTAGCTGGAAGGGAAGCATGTCTCCAGTACCACAGACTGAGAGGAGTGAGGTGGACCACCACTCTGATGTGTTCACCACATCTTGTCTTTGATACATATATACTATAAAATAATTTTTTTCTTTGTCTCTGGCATCTACTTGTTCCATGTTATTTAAAAAAACTCCAAACAAACTAACCAAACAAACCAAAACCTGGAAGATGACAGTACGTACGACCGTGTGCTCAGGGTATAGGCACTGTATTTCACATTTCAGCTGTAGGTGGTATAAGTGTAATCTGCAATTTTCCATTTACTCAGAGATATCCAAGTAGTCAGATGCCCTCTAATTAGTTATGTATTTGTGGGCAGCTTCAGTTAACACCTGTGTTTGTCCCCAAAGCAACTCTAAATAGCTTCTTTCTTTCCCACAGTATATCTTGTACATATACAGTTATATAAAGTAGCTTCTGAAATATTTTTTTAATTGCTTTTGCTGGTTATAACGTGGACACTACTGAGAGTTCAATTTCCAGTTTATTGGGAATAAATTCAAGAAGCTATGTTAATTTAGTTTTCTTAACATCTTTCAAAATGCTCATGTCACTTTTAACTCTGGACTTTGTCATCTTTCTGTCAATATTAATTCCTAGGTTTATGCTGTTTTAAATAATGTTACACATATTTTAGGTATATAATTTGATGTCTGCATGTGAAAAACAAATTTACAACTCTCTGGACACTTTACAAATCTATTGATGAAGTTTAGGCTGAAGTGGCTACAGTCTAATTAAATATATATACACACACATTGTTTGGGTTGGGCGTTACTATGGCATATCTTCCTGATAAAGCATTATGCCCTTATTTAACTTTCTTGGCTGCCAAGAGGCTGTTCGAAAAAATCTTTAGGAAAGAGGCTGTAAATATGTCATTACAAAATAAATCGAAGGCTCTCACCCCCTCAAGGCTTCAGCTGAAAGGAACAAGCACTTTTAAGATGGTTCTTTGTAAAATAAATTTACTGTAATAGTTAAATGTAACCACTTTGATTACTTGGAGATTAGAAAAAATACTTTCTATTTAATCTCCCTATTACATGAGCCTCTTAAACAGTTTCGCAAAAACAAGAACATGCTACCAAAGATTTTTTCTTCTTATGGTGAGTACTAGAGTGACAGATGCTAAAGACAAAGCTGGAGAAGCTTTGAAATTTCAAAATCAGCGTCTCTATGATATAAGCACAAGAGAGATGCCCTCTAGGTAGAATTGTAAGAGTCATTTCTCCTCTACATGGTAGGTACAGAAAGTTGTATATACTACTCAATTCCTCTGTAGAGACATAAGAACTGAAAGGCAACTGTTGGTTTAAACCTTTTTGATGTTTTTTGTTTGTTTCTGTAATTCAGATGGATGTACAAACCTTAAATAAAATAGAAGGCAGGCTAAAGGCCTGGCTATTGTAATGTAAGCAGTAAATCTGCTACTGCCAGGTTTTTCCACCAGAGGAAGATGCAATTATTGCAATGTTTACTGCAGAAGATACTAAAAATGAAATGGAAAAGTTCACTTGTATTTAAAAGAACAAACAACATTTCTCTTTTGATTTTTACTTCTTGTTTGCACTACCTAAGTCACTACTGCACAAGTCACTCATAGACTTTCAATCCAGCCTTAGTTTTATGGACAAGATGTTAAATACTGTAAAGTCAGGATTTGTGGATCTCCAGGTGTTTAGCACACTCAGTATGAGAGTGCTTCTAAAAATAAATTGTTTACTTCAGTTCTGCAGCTGAATACTTAGGGCTGTCACTTGCTTTTTGCTCACAACTTCTGCTGCCTGTCTGAAAATGGATGAAAATAATTTGAGCCGAATACTTCTATTTAATGGTGATATTTTATTATTCTTGAGAATAAGTTGTCAATTAGGTACCTGGCTATTTTCTTTGTGAGGACATCAGATAACAGGAAAAAAAAAACCAGAACTACTGTATTTCTTTAATACAAAAATGTATGTGTAAAAGCCTATATTTCTTGATTAGAAAAATTGCTAATTATCTGAATTTTATTTCAGCTTTACTTTTGGAAGCTCAGTCAACGCCGTTTCAAATAACTCCTTCAACCATGGCAAATATTGTGAAAGGCCTGTACACACTTCGACCAGGTAAAAAAGAAAAGTGTTTCTATGAGTCTCTCTAAGTTGTGATATGTTTTCCTAAATCCATGTGTGGTCACTGTCTTACCTAATGCATATTTAAACACACAGACCTGTGTTGTGTTCTGTCCACCATAACGCTTAGTTCTCCTGTGCAACAGCCCTGGTTCTTCATGTTGCCCATCTCTGTGATCTGCTCAAGGTACTCTGTGAATACCAAATTAAATTTAAAAAACCCAAAAACCAGCCCAATCCTCTACTCTGGAGACGAAGGGAAAACCTATTTCTTTTGCTTTGTAGAAATAAAGCAAGAAGGCTGTTTAATGAGTCAGTCACGGCAGAAGTTCAGAAGTATTGAGATGGTGAAAGTTATATTGTGAGTTGCACTTCAAAGGGCCAGACCTTTGACATGAGATAAATGAATGTTTCTTCTATGAAGCCGTTATTTGGTTGGTGGTATTTCATAGAAGAGCTTAATTTAACTCATGAGTGTATCGTGAGTGTAACAGTTATAGTGAAAGGAAAATGGTGTTGTAGATTTTAATCAATTTTATACCAAAATTTTTTGGTTCTGTAAGTTTTGAGAACTGAGTAGAGCTCTAGCCTGTGTTTGAAAACACTTAATAAGCACAGGAAGTATTCAAAATATCCATACATAAATAGTACCTGCTTCCCTTCCTTTTACAGTACTGATACTTTTTTCTTACCTTGGTGTGACTGGGAGAAAGATTGTGTCTGAGCTTCAGTCTATTTTTGCTTTGCAGTCCCAATTTTTAGAAATAGAAATGAGAATGGGAAAGCTTTACAAAAAAGCTTTAATGCAATGTTTGTCATGTGTACAATGGCCAGAAACGGGGTGCACCTTCTGTTTACAAAAAGCGTGGATAAAGCACTTTGAGTAAGCAAGAATTATTTTTACAACAGCAAAATTAACATCTTACCACAATTTTCAAGGCAATACTAATTTCATTTTTACAAACTGTTCAGTACCTAAGAAAGGAAGGGTGTAAACATAGGTATAAGACCATCATTCTTTTAATAAACAGGTCAGTTTGGTTTTCTTCATATTGTAGATGATGGAGTTGTGATTTCCTAGTTCTCTATTTCAGATGATCCCGGTCTTGATGACTATTTCATAACACAACAGATACTGATACCCAGTTTGGGTTGGTATCTTGGGCCTAATCAGATTTTGAATAGTTGTCTTGTGTCTGTAAGATCTTTAAGTATGAAAATTTATTCCTACAATTTGTAGTATCTGCTTTCTGCAGCTGGGTAGGAAAACCCAGGTGACTGACTGTAAGCTGTTGCTTAAACAGATACACACTTGCTCTAATTACCTGTTCCTCAAACATAAATCATAGAATGGTCTGGGTTGGAAGGGGCCTTAGAGATCATTTCGTTCCAGGCCCCCTGCCATAAGCAGGGACAACTTCTCAGCCTCTGAGAAAATGAGGAACTTTAATGTCATTCCAACCAAAAGAGCACAGGATAGACTTCTTGATGTAAAAGGCTGTTCTTTGGTGGTGCTGGTTCTTGAGGATGAATTTGGAAACAATCAGGGTAAAACTTCCTCTGAGGTAGTGCTTCTCACTTACTCTGAGGGACATGCTCCATTGGATGTATCATGGGGACTGGGGAGTAGATAACTGGGGAAGTCAAGCAGAAAATGTGGCCGTTGGGAGGTGCTGGGGCATTAGAGCGGCACCAGGAAGCGTCTGTTTAGGCAGTGCAAAGAGCAGGAGAAGTAATGCTGATGTGGCTGGTGGCCATGGACTTCCTCTTCTCTTCCTCTTCTTTTACTTTCTCTTCAAGTTGGAAGTACTTGACAGGTATTAGACATCAAATGTTGCCAGAAAAGATTGTCTTCTAATTCTAGCTGCAGCAAGTGACTGCAGTAGAAAAGGCTGAAGCCTGGGCAGCTGCTCTGGCTGCTAGTTGGTCCACTTGGATTTAATCTGATACACTCTTTTCACCTCACCTATAATGATCTGACAGTGTCATGAAATATACTACCACAGTATTTCATGTCGTGAATTCCAAGTCAGTTTATTGGCTTGGCTAAATTATTCAGCAGCAGCAGGTTTTTAGTAGGTAGCATGTTCTACATGGTACCTTTTTACTGCATTTCATAAGAAGAAAAGTGCTGTTTCATGTCTGTAGAGGTTTCCTGTTTGTTTGGTTTGGTTTTTTAATCAAGTGCTGCCATGAGCTGGGGAACTACAGGCCTGTCAGTTTGACCTCCCTGCTGGGAAAGGTTATGGAGCAGATCACATTGAGTGCCATCACACGGCACATACAGGACAACCAGCTAATTAGACCCAGTGAACAGGTTTGTGAAAGGCGGGTCCCGCTTTACTCACCTAATCTCCTTCTATGACAAGGTGACCTGCTTAGTGGGTGATATAAAGGCTGTGGATGTTGTTTACCTGGACTTTAGTGAAGCCTTTGACACTGCTATCCACAGCATTCTCCTGGAGAAACTGGCTGCTCATGGCTTGGACAGGTGTACTGTTTGCTGGGTAAAAAAATTGGCTGCATGGCCAGGCCCAAAGAGTTGTGAATGGAGTTAAATCCAGTTGGTGGCCAGTCAGAGGTGGTGTTCCCCAGGACTCAGTTTTGGGGCCAGCTCTGTTGAATATCTTTATCAATGATCTGGACAAGGGGATTGAGTGCACCCTCCGTGACTTTGCAGATGACACCAAGTTGGGCAGGAGTGTAGATCAGCTTGAGGGTAGGGAGGCCCTACAGAGGCATCTGGACAGACTAGATCGATGGGCCAAGGCCAAGTGTATGAGGTTCAACAAGGCCAAGTGCCGGGTTCTGCACTTGGGTCACAACAACCCCATGCAACGCTCCAGGCTTGGGGAGGAGTTGCTGGAGAGCTGCCTGGGAGTGTTAGTCAATAGTGGCTGAATATGAGCCAGCACTGTGCTCAGGTGGCCAGGAAGGCCAATGGCCTCCTTACCTGTGTCAGCAGTAGTGTGGCCAGTAGGACCGGGGCAGTGACTGTCCCCCTGCACTCGGCACTGGTGGGGCCACACCTCAAGTGCTGGGTTCAGTTCTGAGCCTCTTGCTACAGGAAAGACATGGAGGTGCTGGAGCATGTCCAGAGAAGGGCAGTGGAGCTGGGGAAGGGTCTGGAGCACAAGTGTGCTGAGTTCCTGGCTGAGGGAACTGGGGGTGTTAAGCCTGGAGAAAAGGAGACTGAGGGAAGACCTTGTGGCTCTCTCCAACTTCCTGAAAGGAGGGTGGAGAGAGGTGGGTGTTTCTCCCAAGTAAGAAGCGATAGGACAAGAGGAAATGGCCTCATGTTGTGCCAGGGGAGGTTTAGATTGGATATTAGGAAAAATTTATTTGCTGAAAGGGTTCCCAAGCATTGGAAGGGGTTGGCCAGGGAAGTGGTGGAGTCCCCATCCCTGGAGATATTTAACAGACATGTAGATGTGGTGCTTTGCGACGTGGTTTAGTGGTGGACTTAAGAGTGTTGGATTTACAGTTGGACCCAATGATCTTAAAGGTCTTTTCCAACCTAAATGATTCCATGATCTGGTGATGAGGGAGGCTGATGCACTGATTTTTGTTTAAACCACCTGTACACTAGCAATGATTAGTTAGTGAGTTTGCTGATTAAAGACTGTTGAAGCTTGGCATGGACCAAGGAACCATGTGTGGGAATTGGATAAAAACTTGTGATGTGCCTTAGTGAATGTATTGAAAAGCATCCATTTTTTCCAAGTAAAGATGAAGTTTAAGATAACTGCTACAACCTCTGGAAAGTCTTGCTTCAGAAATACTTGAGGAGTGTTTATTTTTCTTAGAACTTCTTACATAGTTGCTGTAAACCCCATTTTCATCTTTTGCTCGGTCTTCTGTATTTCTTATCAGCCTTGAGCAGTTTTAAGGTAAACTGTCTTGCTTCTGTAAGGCAATGTTCAGTGTACTAAAATTAAATCACATTTCTGTCCTGAAGCTGAACTAATACAGGCTAAAATTATATAATGAACACTGAAAAGTGTTCATCTAAACTTTGGAAGATCAGGCAGAGAATGACATTACTTTGTAATGGGAGATGGAGAAGCAGGGTTGTATGGTGACATTACTGTGCTTTCTACAAGTAAGGCTCAGGGAAGAGAGGTGTGAATTTGTTGAGTAGGCTTCCCAGAGTAAAGTGTTACAAATTATCTGATGATCAAGGTGAGTTTGCTGATCATTGTTGCCTGTCCTTGAGTGTGTCCAGAGACTCAGCAGGGCCTGTGAGATGCAACAAGAACTGAATTTCAATTTGATCATGTGGTTGATGTTTAAAAAAAATAAAAAAGGTAAGTAATTCCTTTATCCACATGTAAACACCTGATTTTAACAGCGTGGTTATTTGTTCTGCTTTAAGGCTTGGTTTCTGTGGCTTTTAGGGGATGATTTTTTATTTTTTTTTTTAATTCAAGATCCTAAAATGTGTTTAAAATAAAGCAAAGTTATGTTTGTCAAAGAGTACGATTTTCACAAAAGATCTCTTCCACGTGTTTTGTTGTTGCTTTCCTTCTTCTTACAGAATGGGTACAGATGGCACCAGCTTTATTTTCTAAATTCATCCCAAATATTCTACCCCCTGCTGTGGAATCTGAGCTTCAGGAGTATGCTGCTCAAGACCAGAAACTTCAAAGAGAGCTTATGCAGAATGGATTTACTAGGTAATAATTATTAATCTTCAGTAGTAATTGTGCTGGACAGTGCTGAAATGATGAAAATGGATACACCTAAAAATACTGAAGAAATAATTGAAGAGTTAATAAAGAACCTTCACAACTCGTTATCTGAATTATGACCTTATTTTCCAGACATTTTGAGCACCCCCCCACCCTGCAGATGGTGTCAAAAGGCAGATGATCGGAAGTCTTGACGTATTATTATGAAACAATTGGCTTACAGTTTGTGCCTCCCTGTGTTTTGATTGTGCTTCTGATGCGTGATCATGTTCTTGTTCAGCCCTTACTTTGGCTTTTTATCTTCTGTAAGCTGACTTTTTTTTTCATGATGCTTCTGAAAATGTCAGTTGATGACTTCTCCTTATTCCACTCTCAGAACTATTTATACAGTCAAGGTGTTAGTTTAAAATAGATATTTCTCTTCTGAGTATTGAATTGGGGGTGTGGGCGTTGAAAAAAACAGTAAAAGAGACAGCAGAAAATTGTCATAACCTGTATTATTCACCCTGGGCTGTGCCTGTTGCTCTGTGCTCTTCTCTTTAACTGCTTAGACAGAACCACAGTGGTGTACTGCTTTTGCAGGAGCCCGTCAAACCGAGATCAGGCCGGGGCAGCTGTCGTGCTCTGTTCCCAAGAGGACGTTTTCTGCATGAAGAGAAATACATCCTCATCTTTCCTGTTACCTGTGCAACGCTGAGAATCTGGTCCTGTAGCTTGAACACCCACTTGATGTGGGTATATTTAGTGTTAGATATACTCCTGGATTTCATGTCCCTGATGTGTGGGGACAAAGAAGAGATGAGGGCTGGAGGCTGGTCATACCAGGAAGAACTAAGTAAAGGTTTCTGTGTCACATACTGTTTGTAGAGTCTACTACTCTCATGTAGTTTTCCTCAAAGGTAATCTCTCTCTTCAAAGCTTGGTGAATTACTGAGCTTCAAAACTCTACTACTGACTCAGATGCAAATGGTATTGTAGACTCACTCCTTGTAAGGCTTTCTGTTCAGGAAAAAAAAATTTTGATAGCTATGAGTGAGTTAAGAGACTAAAAACAAAGCCCTAAGAGCTTGGGCTGAGAAAAGCAGTGCATTTGGCTCAAGAAATGGAAGTTTGAGATTTTGAAACCGAGTAGGCATAGAATGCTGACAAAAGAATGTAATGCATGGAACAAAACAAAAAAGGAACATTTTAGTTTTGCCTAACTTTCAATCTTACTAATTCTGTAGGTGGCTCATAACAGTTCTGCTTACAACTGCGTTTCGCCAGTTTCACACTTCATAGAGAATTAAAAATGAGGTTCCAAGTAGTAACAGTCCATATCCACAGCAACAATCGGTTTCAAAACCATTTTCCCCTAGGTAACTGGAAGTAAGACAGGCTTGTCAGCTTGGCTATGAAGTACTTTGGCTGGTACTGTGAGGAGGATACTGTGTCAGAGGTTAGGAAGGGTAGTAGGAAGGATATACTCACCACGGCAAAGGTGCCACTCTCTTGTTAGAGTCTTGGTGGGATCCTCGGAATATATTTTAGCAACTCCTGTTTTATACAGAAAACTAATTCTCTAGCACGGGAACAAATGCAAATCCATTGGAAACTTCCTGTCCTGTGTGATATGTGGGGACAAAGAAGAGATTAGGGCTGGAGGCTGGTCATACCAGGAAGAACTAAGTAAAGGTTTCTGTGTCACATACTGTTTGTAGAGTCTAGTTTTTAAGAGTTCCTCTTCCTTTTGGCTTTCTACAGTATGGGATCTTCTGTGTATGGGACCCAGAGTTTTGGTAAGCCTTGTAGGTTTAGAAAACTGACCCACCCTAGCCTATGCTTTTGTGCAACTGCTGTTTCTATGTCTCTTGCTTTCAATTTATTAAAGAAAAATGCAAAATAAAACTTTGCAGTGGAGTAACCGATTGATGGCATTTAGTCTCTGATGAATGTGGTTTGCACAGTATATTTTATATGGTTGTACTGTCAGGGAGTCAGTGCAATCTGGTAAACATGGAGGTTATATAAGGTGTTAAGAGTAGAGTCTGTCATCATTAAAAGGACACAGGTAAAAGAAAACTGAAGTACAGGTAATAAATATATTTGCTACATGACATTTGGAGTGGTATTTGAAATGCATTTTGCCTTGAAATGCATTTCAAGATGTAATATGCTTCTTCCTGTATTATAAACACAGGTTATATTTATTTATAACTTCTCAGAATTGTTCTGAGGTTATATTTCTACACATACAGGTATATATATTTATATGTATAAAAGGGTTGTTTTTCTCTTTTACGAAGTGTGCTAAGTCTGTTCTCTTCTGGGTCGGTATGAACTGTCATCTGCTCTCCTCTAATTGCACTAAAAAATGGTGATGTCTTTGCTGCTGTATTTCCTACAACAATAACCATGAGGAACACAGCACACTGAGATGTCTTCAGCAGCATTAATGCCATGTCAGGTTGTAGTTGAAATAGCTTATCAACACTATTAAATACTATTGCTGCAGAAAGGGGGAACACAAGCCACTTGCTTGGCAGTAGTTCTCCTGTGAAAGACCTTAATCAAGGCATACACAGCAAGTCCATCACCTTAAGAGTTGTTTCAGGGAATAACACTTCATGTTACTAGAAAAAACACCAATTTCTACCAACTTCCAGCAGATAAATGTGAAATTATAACCACTGTGCTGAAAATATATTGGAATCTCTCTTCCTTATATAGCAGTATCAACAGCATATCTTATCATCACAAGAAACTTGTGAAGCAGCAAGATTTTCCAGCTTTAAGAGTTTGTGTGCACAAAAATAAAAGGAAAAAAATGTTTTTCAAATAGATGGGAATTTGTCTTTGGGTTTTCAGGAGTAATGATGTCAACTGATGTTTATACGACTTCAGTTATTTATTTAAATCTTCTGCTTGAAGAGGGAGTGCTCAAACTTGCTTAGAGTCTGATTGTTGGGTTTTCAGGAACATCTTGCCTTTTAGATTGGTAAGTGCAGAGGTTTGGGGTTTTTTTTACATAGTTCTATATAAAGTTTTTTTAAATCTTCTGCTTGAAGAGGGAGTGCTCAGACTTGCTTAGAGTCTGATTGTTGGGTTTTCATCTTGCCTTTTAGATTGATAAGTGCAGAGTTGTTTTTTTTTTTACATAGTTCTATATAAAGTCTGAGGAGTTTGAATTAAGGAAAACAATTTTATGCATGACTTAAAACCACACTGCATATAAGCAATTTTCCTCATCTTCATTTTGAAAAAAAAAGTCCTGTAAAATCAAACCTACTATCTTTAACAAAAGGATGAGCTAATTAAATCTATAGCATATAGCTTATACTTCTGTTTTAGTAAATTGAGAATCCTGCAGTCATGTGTTCTGGCTCCTGTGTTTGCATTTTGTTTATAAAGTCTGTAAAAGTTGATGATTGTGCTGAGTAGACTGCAGAAAACTATGGTTTTCCCTCTTTAAATTGTAGAATGGTTTGGGTTGGAAGGAACCTTTAAACATCATCTAGTCCAACCCCCCTGCAGTGAGCAGGGACATCTTCAATTAGTTCAAGTTCTCATGAAAATATCTTTCTTCCCCTTCTTTCCTAGAGGTGACCAGTCACGCAAGAGAGCTGGAGAAGAGTTAACTTACAGTAAGTATGCATCTAACCCTGCCCTCCAGTGTGCTGCAGTCCCATACAGGTAGTGGTGGACTTCTGGGTTCTTGGACTTCTGGTGAGGTGTCAGAGGCTGCATCTGCATGAGTAGCTAGCTGTCTGCCAATGTAACCTTTACCATTCTATGTAATAATACAAATTTCTTGGATCTAGAGCCTGGCAAACTGTGCTAGAGTCCCACAGCCACCTCTAAGGCAGTAAGATTCCCTACCTGCTGAGGCCAAGATACTTCCACTTCATTTAACTACATAGCTGAGGTCTTAAGGAAAAAGAATGTGGTTGTCTCAAGTCTTTGCGGGGTCAGGATACACATAACAGGCAATGAAATGATGAGCCAGTCCACCTCTGATATAAATTTCCGACTGGTGATGTGTATTTCTGTCTGTTGACAGAACCCTCAGTGGTGCGTCTAGTACAACCTGGGATCCACCTGCTTTGAGATACTAAAGGCATGATTTGGCTGCAAATGTTCGAGTCATGCTGCAGGGAAGTTCTCTTCCATTTGTAGATGAGGTCTCTTGATGCTTGTTTAACTGATGTTCTTCACTTTGTTACTCCCTTAATTTCCCCCAGTATAGATTAGGGAGTAGAGGGAGGAGGGTGGAATGGTATTTCCATTCTCTGTTGCTTGCTCTACTCCAAACCAGCCCTGGGTGCACTCAGTCAAAGATCCCATCTTCTGTGCTGACTAAATATTTGGCCAGGAGAGAGTCTAGTCCCTTACATTCTAGGTTAGGATTGAATTACAAGGTCCTGATTGTCATTAAATAGCCTTGGAGATTGGGGAATAGTATCTGTTCTGGTATTGTTGCTAACTTTATTTCCTACCATAAAATGTCATATAATTTTATGATGAACTCTTATTACAACCCAAAATGAATTAATGGATGTTCACGTGGATCAGCTTCTGTTTACACTGTTAACTTTTTGCAGGCGATGCTGGTTTTGGGGCTGTTTGTTGGGGAAAGGGGGGGCAAAGGATACAAAGTGAAAGTTTAATATGAGATAATTTCTTGAACTTTTTCTCTCATTTCAGATGGCTCATCAGCTTGTGCAAGCTCCAGGGGATACAGATAGTGAATATACTGGATCAGCTTCTATTCCTAGCCAGAACAGACACTGGAGGAGCACAGGTGGTATCCGGAGCCTCCTTTGGCAACTGCTGATACTCGAGCTCTGACACGAACTATGCCTCAAAGAAGAGTTTTGGACTTCTCTTCTTTATATAATAAAATGTCAGTTGCTGCTACAATTGGGATGACTTTGAAAGACATGATTCCTTGGTCTGGCCTCTCAACAGGTTCATGTTCTGCGATTTTTGTGAGGAATGCACCTTGAAAAACAATCCTTTCAAAGTGGAAATGGGCAGCCAAAATCAGCAGCTTCCAAAAGCGTTAGAATGGAAGAATCTTTTTTGCACTCTTTTCTTAATATTAAGGACATTCTTAAAACTAGTTAACACGTCAGTGTATTAGTTTTTAAACTTCAAGGTATTTTCTGGAGCTTTTACTTAAATAATGAGAATAAAGTTTCATTATTTTGCAGTATTTGTTCATTAGTTTAAAGATTGTCACCTTTTAAGAGTTGGTCCCATATAAATGTGTCTTCTGTCAGGGAGTTTCAAATTCCGGATTTTTCTTTTATATCTTTTTTTTTTTTAACTTGGCATTTTGAGATCTGTTTTCCTGTGTGTTTGTACTCTGTGCCTTCAGCTTGTGCACTTTGCAACTTTATAGACCATATTTTGTTACTGCAAAATGTGTTCTTGAGGAGAAACTTGATGTGAACAAACATGCTGCAAAGTTGCACTTTTCTCTTGCATTAATGGGAGGTGAATTTAAGGAGGAATGAAGAAAAGTTGAACCTATCACCATCACTAACAGTGACTTGGAAGTTTGTCCCCTTTTGTTTTTCATATGTATTAGTGTTTAATGCTGGGACCAACTCTTGTAGAGCCCCTCTCATTGACTTTTCATTGGCTTCTATAATTGCAATAGATTGAGATATGAATTCCAGACGGAATGAAATACTGAGATGTGTTTTATGCTGTGCTGTGTAGAAACATTGTGGGCAAAATTCTCCACTCTGGTAGGTCTGCAAAGTGTATCTCCATCAGCACAAACCAGATTTGCGCTTGGTTGATCAGCGAACAGTGGTACCTGTCCAAGATCACGTTGTGGCTCCTGTGCCATTTCTCCTGTGTCAGGGATGTGATGGGGGTGTGACAGTGGATGTAGTCAGAATGGGGGAGTTGGGTGGTGTAACACATGCGTGTGTACCCATCAGCCTCCCGCTTCCACTCTTGTGCAGACTCAGCTGGAGATCCAGCTGAGCCCAGTTCCAGGAGGTCTGGACTTGTGGTCTAAATCCTAATGATTGTGACATGGGTTTTAATCAGTAGTATGGCTACTGCAGCTCTTTCATGAGGGTAGAAACATACTTGAAAAAGCAGTTTGACTACAGGGGATTTTTTTATTCCTATGGTTTTATCACCTTTAGTTGTGATGAGAAATGAGTTGGTAATATAAAAATCTTTCTGAGGTGAAACAAAAGTTTGTTCAGTTTTCTCTTGCACAACTCTTATGCCTGTTTAAAATGGATAACACACAAAAAACCTACACAAGCCCCTTTATGCTTGCACGAGTTCATTACAAAATGCAGGAAAAAGATACAAAATAGATGCGGCAGGGACAAAGTTTCTTTTTCTTCTTGTTTTGTAGCCAAGCTTCATGAAAATTAATTTAGTTCTATCAACTTCACATCAGCTACTTTGGCAATGCTGTTAGTTTGGAGGGTGGGGGAGTGGAAGAATGAGGAGGACACTGCTGTGATTGAGGGATTCAAATCTGATTTACCTGTATATTTCTTTGCATGTTTGCAAAGCCTATTTAATTTTGAGGAAGTTTTTCTTTAAAAAATGAATGCTTTAGTGTTTTGTTTTCTGTGTAGAACAATGTTAGTGGGGATTTTTCATCTGTTGATAGTGCTTGCTTCAACTTTGCTACCAGCTACTTAAGTTGAAGCAGAATTAGATAAAAACAGGGGTTTTGAAAATTTTGCTGAAGTACGCAGTGGAGATGTTAATGAAGGCTAGTAGGGAACAAAAATGACTTGCCAGCTTCCAGATTTTTATCAGTTTTGGCTTTAAACAAAAATAGCTTTAAAAATCACTGTTTGCTGAAATAACAAAATTCTTGAGTTGAGAATAGATGCATTAACATTAACCTAATTTGGTTAAAATTTGTTTACAGCTTCATTACCATTCTAGTTCACATAATACAGTAATCAAGCTCTGTCCTCTTTGTCAAGTGATCACAATGTTTTTTCTGTTCTTAAAGTGGTTTCACTGGTTCAAGTTTGTAAATAACCTGTAGTCCTTTTGCTTCATGTTTGAGGCAAGGGCTCAGCATTCCTTTTACGTTGCATTATGTTTGGGACACAAACTTCTAGAACAATAATTCCATCAAAAGGTAAAGCATTCCTGTCAGCGTGGTTCACTTGGTATGCACTGGGTAGTGCTTGGATGCTTCTCAGTCCTGTGTAGCATTCTCACTTGGCCACCATACCCGAGAAATCTATTTGTTAAGCACTGTATTATGTTTATTATGTTGTAAATTTGGCATTCAAATTCCTGTATGTTTTGGCATTATTAACATAATGCTGAAATATTGTTTATCTGTTGAAGATGTTATCATTGTGACTGAGCATGAAACAGAATACAGCATACTATACTAAATGATTTTGTTTCTCTGTAAACTTGCATTTTACTTACAGCAAAACTAACTCGGCCAACTTCAGCATTGGTACTGTAAAGCCACAATTTCCAGCAGCATGATCCTTACTGCAGTAGTTAATTTAACCAAATAACTTGTGGTAAATCCCTTACATCTGTAGCTTATTCTGTTAAGATTAAGCAGTAAAGTTGGTTATACAATGGGTGTCCTCTTTATGTTGCACTGGGTCTATAGCCGAACTTTCTAGGCTAAAATATTTTTAGATTAATTTCATTTCTTGATTTGGGAAGTTGAAATCTTTATATTCATCCTGCTGACTACTGTAATGGTAGGTAATTGTCAATATATGGTCAAGATGGTCTTCGATACAAATGATGAAGGGGGGAATCTAACTAGTTAAGTACTCAGCTCTTCTGCAGTTGGGTCTCCTTGATGCCTTTCTGCAGTTTTGAGGAAGTATTTTTGGATGAATACTTTGAAGCAAAAGTTTTTCACTCCTGTAGTTTAATAGGAATATGATCAGCCACGTTAATCCCTTTTATTTTTCCCTAATATAATTGTTTACTTTCTACAGGTTTTTAAAAAAGCAATATAGAAAACAACCACGAAGGCCATGTTCTGAGTGACTGAAAAATGTTTTCCATGTATGCTATGACAACCTCAGTGAAGGACTATTCTGTAGAACTACAGAATAAAAACCAACTGCTTCAATTTGACTCCTGTCTTCAACTCAGCTCCAGCTGAGAGAAAACAAAGATGTTTTGATGATTTGACGTGCACCAGATACCTGGAGGGCACTTAGTTCAGCTCACAATGTGCACGTTATGGTACCTATAGGATCAGTACAGTTCTTGACCACAATGAAAAGGTCTCACCAGGGAGGAATGGTCACTGCTTGGGTTAGTGTACTTCACTTTCTGCTCTGCTGGGACTGTGTGATAACATGGGGATAGTCACTGTGCCGATGCCACTAGTTAAAGATTCCTTATTTTGAGGGATGTCTTGTGTTGACAACTCGTTTAACTCCTGAGATGGCTTTTCACAGCTGAGTACTGTAAATACATCTGTTAATAACAGTATATGCTTTCATTGGTGGCGCTTATTTTGAGGGATGTCTTGTGTTGACAACTTGTTTATATGTTTATATACTCGTTTATATACTGTTATGCTTTCACCAATGAAAGCATAACAGTATATGCTTTCATTGGTGGCATTTGCTTCGTTGCTCTGAAGAGTTCTTTCAGTGCTCTTGGAGCACCTCCAGAAGCCTTTAGGTGCACGTTAGAGATTGCTGCATCTTTATAGAGGTGTTTGCACGGTGTAAGACTGAGCTGCAAGCTGTGCTCCCAACATCGTCACTGGACAGGGAAGATATAGGTGGTCAGGCTTTGTGTGTCCCCCTTTCTCTGGCATGGGGGTCTGCAGTAACAGGTACAGGTACCTCACTGGTATGAGGCACAGCCTTCTCTGTGCTATTCCTTTGGCCAAGTACCAACAAGTGTCTGATCTTCTGGATCTTGGGAGTGTTGTCTGTCTCACCTGTTGAGGTGAGAAGGATCATTCCTTTAAGGAAGAGGACTGTGGGTCATCTGCCTCTGATTTTTTTTGTCTGCTGGTCTCCAAGGCAATGTGGTGCAAGACAGTAAATCATGTTGAGTGTATTATGCTTGGAACACTTAATTCTGGATTTAATCTGGGATAAACAGTGATCTTTTAGGTAGGCTTACAAACCTCAGGTGATGGTAATCACAGAAGATGTGAGCTAGGGATGGGCTTACTCTGGCTGGTGTCAGTCTAGTGATTACAGGACAGAAGTTATTTTGTCCCAGAGGGCATTACTTTTTATACTGTAAATTGGTGTGACACTGGCCCAACAAGATATTTTTATTCTTATGGTGCCTGTTAACAGAAAAAGGTTGGAGAATCTAAATTTCATCTTTTTCAGTAGTTAAATACAGTGGCTTTGAATGGGGAGCAGAATCACGTGTGTGAGGAAGCCTTACCTTCTGTCAGGAGACACAGATCATCAGCATTACTGCATCAGCAAAACGAATTACTGATTTGGCCTCAGTTGAACGCTCCCTGACAAAGTGCTTTGTACTTTGCTAGAGGGAGTGGAAGGATTAAACCCATGTTTCTTGACCTAACCTGAATGACTGGTTTAAGGGGGTTTCCAAAATTTCATAGGCAATGAGTACTCAGAAATCCCTTCTGGCTGTCTCTGTCTGCCCCTGGGATGTTCCAGATACACTGTGGTTAATGTTCCTCTTTCTGAGCTTCTGCCAACTGATCTAATTATCACAGAACAGGATGACTTTGGTAATAGCACTTACTGCTTCTTTAGCATTGGTTTTCAACTAATCATTCCTTAAGAAAAACTGTTACAGTTTCTGAGATCACTGCTGGTTTCTATTAGCAGACAGGTGATTTATTTGCTACCTATCAGCAAATTGAATGATTTTGTACAGAGAATGGTTCATAAATTAATATCTCGGGATGGTCAGTAGGGGTTACCCTGGGGATGAGGTACATAGTCAGGATAAGAGCATCTGTTCAAGGTAAATGGGGGTCTGAACGTGCTGCCCAAGAACTGAAGTGGTGCCTCTGGTTAGGTCCATGCTGCTGTCCCGTAGCAGCGTGGAGTGACTGTGGAGTGGGTTGCACTGTGAGCAGACACCCAAAAAGTCTGCAGAGTCAGTTACTGTGAGATAGCTATGGACTGCAAATTCAAGTCTTATCTTCATAGTAACCTGTTCCCGTGGCAGGAACGGCTGAGCAGTGACATATGCCTCATATTTGAAACAGGTCAG